AACATATGGTGCGGAATTTGATGAATCTAATGGCTCTCAAGGAGCACATGAGAATCTTGAGGATGTAGGTGATGAACCATTGAGGGAGGCCATGAAGAACATTCTGATTGGAGACATCAAGCCCAAAGATGATGAAGATGATGTACAAGTGATTGATCCACCTTCTTCATCAAATGTGCCACAAGATGATGATAAAGATGGGAGAGTAGAAAATGAAGATACTTATGTCTCCCATGATCAAATGGTGGCACAAGCTCATGGTGTTGATGCTCCACAACCTCCCCCTCAAGTGGTTGATAGAAGAAATTCACCCCTCACCCCTACTACAAGCACATCCACAAGATCTCATCATAGGGAGTCCTTCAAAGGGTGTAATGACCCGCTCTCCAAAACTTGCTTTATTTATTGAACATCACTCGTTTGTTTCTTGCATTGAGCCTAAAAATATAGAAGAAGCTCTTCAAGATCCGGATTGGATAAATGCCATGCATGAAGGGTTGAACAACTTCACCTGAAATGAAGTTTGGACACTTGAAGAGAGACCACAAGATGCAAGAGTCATTGGAACAAAGTGGGTGTTTCGCAACAAACAAGACGATCAAGGCATCATTGTTAGGAACAAGGCAAGGCTAGTTGCGAAGGGTTTCTCCCAAGTTGAAGGGTTGAATTTTGGAGAGACCTTTGCACCGGTTGCAAGACTTGAAGCCATTCGTATCCTTCTTGCATATGCATCCCATCATAAAATGAAATTATATCAAATGGATGTTAAAAGTGCATTTTTAAATGGTCTCATAAATGAACTAGCCTATGTTGATCAACCTCCCGGGTTTGAAGACCCTAGATATCGTAATCATGTCTATAGGTTGTCCAAGACGCTATATGGGCTTAAGCAAGCCCCAAGAGCTTGGTATGAGCGCCTTCGGGATTTCCTCATTGAGAAGGGCTTCACCATTGGGAAGGTCGATACCATACTATTCACCAAAAAGCTTGATGGAGAGATCTTCATTTGTCAAGTATATTTTGATGATATCATATTTGGCTCATCAAATGAAGACTATTGCAAAGAGTTTGGTGAATTGATGTCAAAGGAGTTCGAGATGTCTATGATTAGAGAGCTTACATTCTTTCTTGGTTTTCAAGTCAAGCAAATGAGAGAGGAGATTTTCATCTCTCAAAAAAAATATACCAAGGACCTTCTCAAGAGGTTCAAAATGGATGAATGTAAGCCAATCAAGACACCAATGCCATCTAATAGACATCTCGACCTAGATGAGGGAGGTAAATCGGTTGATCAAACTCTCTACCGTTCTATGATTGGTAGTTTAATATATTTGACCGCATCTAGGCCCGACATTATGTTTAGTGTGTGTATGTGTGCTAGATTTCAAGCTAATCCTAAGGAGGATCACATGGTTGGCGTTAAAAGAATCCTTAGGTACCTTAAGCACACACCAAGCATTGGTCTTTGGTATCCCAAAGGAGCTAGATTCCAACTAGTTGGCTATTCCGATTTGGACTATGCCGGTTGCAAAATTGATAGAAAAAGCACATCCGGAGGGTGCCATTTGCTTGGTAGATCACTAGTGTCTTGGTCCTCCAAGAACCAAAATAGTGTGGCATTGTCCACCGCAGAGGCGGAGTACATTGTCGTGGGTGCTTGTTGTGCACAAATTCTTTACATAAAGCAAACTCTTCTAGACTATGGTGTAGTTCTAGAAAAGGTACCTCTCTTATGTAATAATGAGAGCGCGGTAAAGCTTGCTAATAATCTGGTTCAACACTCTCGTACCAAGCACATAGATATCTGCCATCATTTTCTTAGAGATCATGTTGCTAAAAATGATATATCACTAGAAGGTGTAAGGACCGAGAATCAATTCGCGGATATTTTTACTAAACCGCTAAATGAGGCTACATTTTGTCGGTTCAGGAATGAGCTAAATGTGCTTGACTTTAGTAACTTCACTAAAAAATAAGCTTGTGTTGTCCCTTGCATTGCATTGTAATATAAAACATGTTTAATTTTTAGTAATGCACTTAGGGCTTGTCTAACATGGTTAAGATAACCGCCATAAAGCATGTGAAGAAGCTTAACCTTGGATCAAACTTGACAAGCAACTAGACTTACTTTCAAGTATTGCATTGCATGTGCATGTGTGTTGCTTTATCGTTTCTTTTCGGTTATCTTTTGAGCACCCGCTGTGTTTATCCATAAATATTGAGAGCATTTAAAGCTCCTATTGGTCATAAAACTCTCTTGTGTGGTTACATGGTGCACATCGCTCCTTTTGTTGCCTATTTTCTTAAAAATAATTATAGCGAAGGCAAATTATTTAGAAAAACTTGAGGGTTTGAGAGAGGTCTCTCATATCAGCCCCAATTGGTGTTTATTTGGGTCTTATTGAAGTTTGAGACTTGATTGGGAGAAAGCATCGGGAAGAAAGAAGGAGTATCTACAGTTGAAGAGGGACCGGACACAGGGACCGGACTCACCTATTGCAGCGTCCGGTCAGTACATCAGGAGGAGATACAGTTGCTAAAGAAAGACCAAAAGATGAACAGTATTTCGCGCGCATCAGGTGTGAAGTGGAATCTGTGTCCGGTCAACACGAGGAAGTTAACAGAAAAGGATCAGACTCAGAACTTGACCAGATTCTGGTTTTATGCGTCCGGTTGTTTTCACCGACGCGTCCAGTCGCTTCAACTCGTGTGGAGTAGTTCCATTTCTTCTATAACTGTCACGGGGGCCCTCATTTATTTCACCTCGCCGCCGCGCCCGCGCCTGCATCTCTGCCGCCGCACTCGCGCCTGTGCCTCCGCCACCATGCCCGCGCCGTCGTGCAGCCCGCGCACCCATGCCGCCTGCATCACGCCTTGCCTGCGCAGCCATCCTCGCCCGCCGCCACGTTACCATCCTCTCGTGCCGACGGTTTCCCAGCGCCACGCCTCCTCGACCGCCGCACTGCTTCGCATCACCCAACCCTAGCCCTAAGGGTAAGCCATCTCCATTGCCTACCAAATGTTCGTCGAATCATCTCAACCGGCCTTGATTTCAATTCTAATTCCTCTCTCGGTCCTATGACCTTATAGTGCTATTGTCATTCCCGTGTGGTGTCCCTATGATCAACAACTTCTCCCTTCGCATGTCTCGGGATTGTTCTAAGGTAGCAAGCCATATTCACTCATTACTTTCCTACTGCTTGCTTTCCATTGGGTCATTCGCTTCCCTAGTATATAAAGTTGCTTATATATATACCTCCTATTCTATCATGCAGTTAGTTCGGGCAGTGAGTTTGCCTGGCAGTTGGGCAGTTGATAGATTTACTCGGGGCCAAGCCTACGAGTATGGATTGAGGCCAAGCCTCATGAGTGTCAGTTGGTAGTTGTTTCTTGTCAGTGGTAGTGATTCTTGTTAGCTTCAGAGATGGCACGTTGCAAGAATGTCGGGGGTGGTCCCGACGATGAGGATCCAACGCCTCCGCCTTGCCTGACTGCTCAGCAAAAAGGAAAGGCGAAAAAGACAACAAAGAAGAAGCACAAGAGAGATGATGTTGAGGCAGAGAGAGCAGTAGCAGTGGCAGCCACCGCAGAGCGAGCCGAGATAGGTGGATCTGGCAGTGGCATTCGCATAGGCGATCAGTTGTCACCGGCTCAGAGGACTGCCGTCGAGAGGATTGAGGTCAGTCTTGGTAGTCCACCCAGGACCATCATGCTTGGAGGATGGCGTGTCTCTTTAGAGGAGCGTTAGACTCAGGGGGTGACTGAGCAGCAGACACAGTCGGCAAAGTAGACAGAGGATGCTCAGCAGGGAGAGCAGGTTGAGGAGACAGAGCAGGAAGCACAGCCACAGCTTCGACGCTCCAGTCGCACAGGCACTCAGGTGTCACAGAGGCCTCAAACACAGAAGCGGGGCTCTCATCCACCTCCTAGACCATAGGGTTCGCCTCTGGTTGTTCACCTTGACCTAAGGGCAGCCATAGCCAAACAGGTGCAGCAGCTACGGTTCGTACAGTTTGAGGATTGGTTTCTACTGAGGGTGGGATGAGCGTGCCTCAGAGTACTTCTACACTGTGTTGCAGGAGGACTTCTATAGTGCATATCTCAACAGCGGTGTTGCCTTCAGATCTCAGCGGGTCTGCTCCTTAGAGTCTCTAGTTGCATCTGCAGGCGACCAGATCTGTCCTCACCTCACTTATCTGCTAGGCTTGTTAGATCTCCTTGGATGGACTAGTCGGTATGTTCCATCTTGGGTCCGTGAGTTCTACTCCTCCATGTGGATTGACCCGAGACACAGGTTTATTCATTTTGCTTTCTGAGGGCGTGACTACAGGCTCTAGAGCTCGAGGGTCTGAGAGATACTGAGGATTCCAGAGTCACCTATTCATCTTTACGAGGCATGCTATGGACAAACAGAGAGACACCACACGGGAATGACAATAGCACTGTAAGGTCATACGGCGGAGAGAGGAATTAGAATTGAAATCAAGGCCGGTTGAGACGATTCGACGAACATGTGGTAGGCAATGGAGATGGCTTACCCTTAGGGCTAGGGTTGGGTGACGCGAAGCAGTGCGGCGGCCGAGGAGGCACGGCGCTGGGAAACCGTCAGCGCGAGAGGATGGCAACACGATGACGCGGTGGTGCGCGAGCACGTGGCGGCGGGCGAGGATGGATACACAGGCAAGACGCGTGCGGTGGCACGGCGGCGCGATGCAGATCGAGAAAACCCCTGAACCCCTGTCCCACCCTTACACAGCGGCACAACAGCTATGTGAGATGAGCTGGCCACAGACCTGGTCGCTGTGACTGAAGCCACGAGAGTGAATCCCCCAGGACTCGAACTCTGACCACCCCAAGAGGGAGGTACTGAGCCTGCACTGACCAACTCGGTCAGCCGGCCGTTCCCATCATTTTATATTGTCAAGTCAAATAATGTGTGCTTAGTGAACTTTAGGAAATAAATATAAAAGAAATAATAGAAAAAGGTCATGATCCCACACCTTGTACTCATAAACACCAGGAGCTTCAAGACTGCCAGCCAGGAAACTACCCATCATAACAGTTGATGCCCCTAGAGTCAGGGCCTTCACAATATGCCCAGAGTTTGAGATTCCACCATCAGCAATAACAGGCACATCATGATCCTTGGCATATTGCGCGACCTTGTAAACTGCAGTAGCCTATATATATAATTAACAAAGAAAAGAGAAAAGAGAAAAGGAAACGGCATCAGGACAGTGGGACTCAAAGCTCCAACTATTGGAAGTAAGGGCAGAAAAGTGTATATATGAGGATAAACAATATAAGGTCCCACCGCTATTTTTTTTTAAAAGGATGGTAGAAGCTTTGATGCGATTTCTATTAGACGAAGAAAGATAAAAATGCAAGTGCCCGCCCAATTTTTGGAATGGAACTGAGGTCCCACCACTATAGATTTGTATAATAATTTTGAAATACACCAAATGTTCAAGGAACCATGTAGGTTATAATTAACTGCATCCATTATTAGGGCACCATGATACTTTGCAGAAAGCACTTGTGTTATGATATTAAAGGTGTCCGATTGTTGATGAAGCATGCATATTGCTCCTTTTCAGAAAAGATAATGAAAGCATGTCACAAAGCATTGTTGTAACCCATATCCAGAATTTAGCTTTTGCGGATACTTGTGGAATATAAATTATGCAACTAGATAGCAAGATGGTTTCCAAGAAGTTACTTCCTCCATTCCATGACAACTTTATCATGCCAATCTCAACTTTATCACACGGCTTGGCCACCAATTAGAGCACCGTGACTACTTGTGCACATCTCATTTTGTAAAATGCAGCCACCAAACATCAATCATAACTTTATCATGCCAATCACAAATGTACCACCAAAATTTCAGATACCCTGCCCTCCTAATTTAACTTTTTGAACAAAATTAACCCTCCTAATTATTCAACTAAAATGAATTACTCAAGTCAAGTTACCTTCCTAATTTCAGCTCAAATGAACTACATTACTCAAGGCTTTGCTGTGCTCGATCAACTCAATGAAAACAGCAAACAAACTCAACTTAACCAATAACAGTAAAATTAAATATCATACTGCTAACAGTAAAATTAAATATCATACAGAGAAAGAGAAATCAGCATGCATACCTGTCCTCTGCCTACAGCACAAACCTCCTGCGTGGTGCAAATCGATCCAGAGCCCATCCCAACCCGCAACCCATCCACCCCGGCGGCGATCAAATTCTGTGCCTGCGCAACGGTGACCACATTTCCACCGATCAGATCCACCTCAGGGTACATCCTCTTGGCGTACTTGATCATGTCGAGCTGGTAAACAGAGTTCCCCTGTGAGCTGTCGATCACAATGGCGTTCGCCCCTTCCTTCACCAGCATCTCGAGCCTGCGCTTGTCCTCCTCCCGCGTCCTGATCGCCGCCGCGACGACAAACCTCCCGTCCGCCCCGAGCGACGGTGTGCCCAGCTTCGGGTAGCTGCGGATACGCTCGACGTCCAGGGCGGTGATGAGGTCGACGACGACATCGCCGGTGCCGTCGGAGATGAGGGGCACGAAGTCCAGGCCCTCGTCCGCGAGAAAGGCGGCAGACGCCGTGCGGGGGGCGGGGGTCATGTACTCCGACACGGGGACGCCGGGCCTGTGGTCGGCGGCGGCGGTGACGCCGATGAGCCTGGAGAGCGCGTCCCCGCGCTCGGTGACGACGGCGTACGCGCAGCCGACGAAGTCGGCGGCGGACGGGGCGAAGAACCGGGTGGAGGAGTCCCAGGGGACGCGGCGCGGAGGATGGAGGCCTGGGTCTCGGCGTCGGCGTTGCTGTGGAAGACGGTGGCGGCGCTGAGGGAGGCCATGGCAGCCTCGGAGACGGTGTCCATCGTGGAGGCGAAGCAGGGGACGGACAGCGTCACGCGGCGGGAGAGGCGGGTGGAGAGATCGACGGCGTCGGCGGGGAAGTCGATGTACCCCGGGAGGAAGATCACGTCGTCGTAGGTGTAGGAGACGCCCTGCGAGAACAGCCGCGCTGCGGAGAAGCCGTCGTCGGCCATGGCGTGAGGGGTTTTCCCTTTGCGGGGGGTTTAACGTTTGACGGTGGCGGCGTGTGGGGCGCAGGTGACGGAATGAGCGGCGGCCGGCGGCAAAGTCGGAACCAGTAGGAACTGAGCAGCGCGGTGACGCTTATTTATGGGAGAGCAATCGCAATAGCAAATACCGAAATCCTCCCATATGTAAAGTTTCTTACTACCTATGAATTATGAAATCCGAAATACCGAAATCCTACACTAAAATCCTGAAAATTTTTGTAAGATATGGCTTGTTTGTTTCATTTTTTTTTATATTATAAGTAAAAGACCTTCAAGCTTGTCCAGTTACATCACTTACATCAATTATTATTTTTAATCTATATTTCCCTTTTCTGCTTGTTACCAAGGTCCTGTTAGAAACAGAACAGTAATGGGAGAAGTACAAATTAATTGAAAACGAAATGAATGAAAAAGTGATATCTTTTATAAATTATTGTTTATTTTCATGACCGTGTCTAAGCACGTTTTTCGCGAAGAGAAAACAAGAGTTACAACAAAGGGTTACCAAAAACAACATGATCCCTGCAAAACTAATAATACAGGGATAAAAAAGTTCACAATGTAGGAAAAATATCAATACTTAGGACACCGATTTGTATCATTTCACTAATTATGAAATAAGTTTTCATATTTTACTTATTTGGTGTTTTAGAAGTTAATTAATTTTTTTATAGTCCTCGTTAATTTTAAAATAGTTTGACTTAGAATAAATTCAAAAGTAATTATATTTTGTGCAGGAAGTTAAAGGAAAAAAACACACCAAGTAGAACGAACTGATTAAATCTATCTAATCAACCCAAACCAGTTGTTATTACATATTATTCAATGACTGGTGTGCCAAAAGGCTCACTCTAGCGATCACATATTGGGACGAGAACAACCACATCGAACAACAACGAAGGTTGGCAAAGGACACTACTGCACTAAAAAAATTTAGAGGTGGGCGAATCAAGATTCTAGAGGCGGCGACCTACCCTCCTCTAGGAAGTTGTCACTGTTAACGGGAAATAACAGAGGCTGAGACATTTGCCTTCCTCTAGGAACCAAATAAAATTAAAAAAATAAAAAGCCGCCGCCAGCCCATCGAGCGGCAGCAGCCCATACCACACGTCGTCCATGCTGCCACTACAGGAGCTCCCAAGCTGCGTGACGCCACCGTAGGAGCGTCTGAGCCGCATGTTACATCACAAGGGTTACTTAATTACGTATTTGGAAAATAGAAAAAACATATCTCTTGACAGTGCACTCTCATGAAATTGGTGTTTTCGTGGCGCCTGGTTTGTGAGTTATTGCATGCATGATGGTGTATCCCATGAAATATATTCGATTATTCATGATGGTATTAGTATATTTAGTGACGATTTTGTAGCTCTCATGAAATATCCATTCTCTGGCAGGCCTTGTTTGGATACGCTCCTCGTCACGGCATGGTGCGCGGTACAAGAATCACGGCCGAGGAGCCGTGATACGGAAAATCAGAGCCCCAGTTCAATCTCGCGGTAGATGAGACACGGGCGGTTGAGAAAATCATGCGCATCGCAGGGTGTTTATTTGGCGGGTTGTTTCTCATCGATTCTCGCGACCAAAGTTTTTTAATTGGATTATAAACGTATCCAAACAGGCCCGCAGTGTGATCTGCTGTTTTGTTCTTTACTGTTTGCCACCATTTTATTAATTTGCACACATGTCGTCATGTCGACATCTCGTGAAGCATGTGTCGCCATGCATTATTTGGAGATATATATATATATATATATATATATATATATATATATATATATATATATATATATATATATATATATATATATAACTATTGTTCTGCATCTGGCCATAAAATAACTTATTTTGTGGCCACTCTGAGTTACGATAATTATCATGCTAATTTACCAGACTACTGTTCTGTAGCTGGCCATAGAATAACTTATTCTGTGGCCACTCTGAGTTACGATAATTACCATACTAATTTACCAGACTACGAATAACTCCTTACTAAATGATTTACTATAACATTATGATAAATATCACCGTGAGTTATAGTAACACGAGTATCATAAATGCATATTCATGTTATCGTAAATTGGTACAAACATTATTGTAAATTAAGGTGGTTATAGAATAAGTTATTTTATGGGCAGCTGCAGAATAGCCTTACCCTATATATATATATATATATATATATATATATATATATATATATATATATATATATATATATATATATATATATATATATATATATATATATTACCAAAGCTATAGTACACCTTATTTGCGTGCACATCCAAATAATGGGGGTTGGTGGGAGGAATCTACGTGTTTTCGCGTGATATGTTTCCTTTAATAAACACTTGCATGCACGCTCCATGCATGTGTGTACTGGAAACGTTCCAAATATACTACTTCATTTCTTAAAACAAAATCAATGCAAGAACAAGTGCAACGTCTCAGCACTTTGGTCTTCTCCATGGCGTGCTCCCATGCTCAGGGTCATTATTACCTCCTCCTCACTGGCATTGCTGCTGCTTTTGTCGCGGTGATGTCGTTCTTTCTTCGGTATTCTGGTCGGCGACTGCGGTGGCGAGGTCGTGCCCGTGGTGGACTTCCGCCGGGGCCTCCGGGGTTGCCCAACCTGTTGGCCATGGACCAGTTCACCCACCGCGGCCTGGCCAAGCTCGCCAAGGTTCACGGAGGCTTCTTCCACCTCCCCATCGGCTTCGCCAACGTCTTGGTGGTATCCTCCCCGGAGACTGCCCGAGAGATCCTGCAGGAGCAGGCCAGCGTGTTCTCGCACCGCCCCGTGACCGCCGCCATGGCGTACGTCTCGTACGACCTCGCCGACATGGCGTTCGCGCGGTACGGGCCGTTCTGGCGCCAGATGCGCAAGCTCTGCGCCGTCAAGCTCTTCAGCCGTGGGCGCAATCAGTCGTGGCGCACCGTGCGCTCCGAGGTGGACGTCCTCGTCAGGTCGCGGAGGAGGGAGCCGTCGCCAGCGTCGGCGAACTCGCCTTCAAGTTCGCCACCAACACGACGCTCCGGGCCGCGTTCGGGGCCCGGAGCCAGGAGGACGAGGCGGAGTTCGTCGCCATCATCCGGGAGCTCTCCTAGACATTCCTGGCCTTCAACGTCGCCGACTTCGTGCCGTTCGTCGGCTTCCTCGACCTCAACGGCATCAGCAGGAGGACGAGAGCAGCGAGGCATGCCCTGGACGTGTTCATCGACCGCATCATTGACGAGCACGTCGCCAGGTGGGAGAACGGCGACGTGTCCGCCGCAGACATGGTGGACGACATGATCGCCTACCTCGCCGAGACGCCGGGGAGAGACACGAGGGAGGACGGCGTCGAGCTCAAGGATCTCCGGCTCACCAGAGAAAACATCAAAGGATTGATCATGGTGCGTGAGTGGTAGAGTATTATTAATTTGTCAGTCGTTCGACGAAAACAACAAAGGATTGATCATGATGCAGGACATCATGTTCGGCGGTACAGAGACCGTCGCGGCGACGCTCGAGTGGGGCATGGTGGAGCTGCTCCGGAGCCCCGGAGAGCTGGAGCGCGCGCAGAACGAGCTCGCCCGTGTCGTGGGTCTCCACCGGAAGGTGAACGAGTGCGACCTCGACAAGCTGCCCTACCTCCGGTGCATCTGCAAGGAGGTGCTCCGCCTGCACCCGCCGCTGCCGCTGCTCCTCCGCTAGTGCCTCCAGGACTGCGCCGTGGGCGGGCACGTTGTCCCGCGCAACTCCCGCGTCTGGATCAACATCTGGGCCATGGGCCGCGACGAGAGGCACTGGGAGGACGCCGACGAGTTCCGCCCCTCGAGGTTCGCCGGCGACGTCAGGAGCGGCGCCGGCGACGGCGACTTCTGGTAACTACCGTTCGGGTACGGGCGGCGGTCGTGCCTCGGGATGCAGCTGGGGACGTACGCGCTGGAGCTTGGCCTGGCATACCTGCTGCACTGCTTCCGCTGGTCGCTGCCGAATGGGGCGGCGCCGAGTGACCTGGACGTCAGTGACGTTTTTGATCTGACGGCGCCCAGGGCCCAACGCCTGTTGGCGGTGCCGTGGCCACGCCTCTCTTGCCCTTTGTTCTGAAATAGAGCGAGAGAAGAGAGAGAGAAGAGAGAGATATATATATATATATATATATATATATATATATATATCTCCGTCGCTGCAACAGTGGTATCGGAGGCTGGTTATTAGATTTTGAATTTGAGGGATTTACTATAATCTGTTGAAGATTGAAAAATTACATTATTTAAATTTAGAAGTTAATATAGGAAAGACGGTCAATACTAAAGAGAATATAAATATAAGGTGCAGACTAAATAGCTCTGAAGAACATACTTGGCATACCTCTCATGGACAGATAAACTTAATAGTTGATTTGATACATAACTTTTACATATCTTGTGGAAGGAGGCAAGACGATCTAGAGATAAAATTTGACAGACTGCAAAAGGAACATAAGCACCTTGAAGAGCAATATTCTGCTACCAATAATAAATTAGAATTATCTTTACTGGTTTTAGAAGAGAGTAAAGTTTCTCTAGGAAGAATTAGCTTGAATAGTGATTATATTAAAAAAGATATAACTTATCTATATAAGAAGATTGATAATATTAATATTGTTGAGCATAACAAAGAAATTGTGTTATCATCAGCAGGAATAGTTAAGTCTACCAGATCTTTAAACTCAGAAAAATGGAAGTATCTGAGAGTCTCTCTAGAAGAGAAGTCACTCCAACTAGTAAATAGAGACATGAGATCTTTAGGTTTTATGGAAAAATTAATGGGAGGATGTGATGATATTGAAACCTTGGAAGAAATGATAGACATAGAAAAAGATCTTGAAAGATATCAGAAAGATACCCTATGGAAAATAAGACCTCAATAAATATATCAAATGGGTTGGTTTGAAAATAAAAATAGATTATATAGAATATCTAGAGAAGTAGAATTAAGTGTATTAACAGAACCTGTTCAGTTAAGAATTGTTAGCAAACAAATTGAGAATGGGTTAAAATATTCTGGGTATAAATATATACATCAAGGAATGCATATCATAGGAATTAAAGGAATGACAAGGAAGAAATTAGGAACAAAGGTTTTAATAACTCTATTAGACAAAAGTTGAGACTCAATAAATAAAGTAGCATTAGGATTTTTAGAAGGTGATATGAATGAAAATATGTTAATAACATATATAGCTCCAGATTTAATAATGCTAGTAAAATAATTTATAGATAAGATGGTTTTTGGATTTCAGACCAAAGGCTATGAAGATTTTAAAGGAAGAAATCTATTAGTAAGCATAGAATTTATAGGAAGGTTAACCAACAGAAGTGGAACCAAATATAAGGTAAATGTGAACAATGTTATAGAAAGTATGCAATTTAAAGGAATAAAATTTATGAGTCCTCTGAAAATAAGTTCTGAAGAAAGAGCAGGAGAAGAATGGAATATAAGCTCGTTAATAGAACCAAAAATTTTTAAACAACCTAAAGATTACATAAGCTATGAAAATAATAGAGGGATGACTAGTATTAGGTTTGTAGATTATAAAGAACAAAGTTTACATGATTTAGAAGCATCCAGTTTAGAGGCAAAATTAGAAGAAAATAGAAGGCATAGCATATGTGAATTTATTAAAAAATTAGATATAGATAATGAAATAAAACATTATGAGCAAAAGTTAAGCAAAATTTATGATGAATACAAAACCTCTATGATATGCCAATGGGCTACTATAAGAGAAAAGGAACTTTACTTTAGACAAGAGTTATATAGACTTAATAACATCAAGAAAGATAGAGAGTTAAATAATAAGAAATTTAGCATTCCAATAAAGAAAAATGAATTTGTGTCAAAACAAAAAGAAAATAGGATAAGGGAAGCCCAAAAAGAATTAGAATATAGCAAAGATAAGATAAAAGACATAGGAGATAATGATATAAGCGAAGAAGAGCAATGGGAAATTAATAATAAGTTTTTGCTAGAAAGCTATGAAGAGGAGGATGAAGATACAATTGAGATATGCAGTAATAACTCACATAAACTCCTTAGAAAATAAAGAGTTGCATAAAAATAATGCTATAGAAGCAATGAAAATAGATCCAAGTTCATCAAAAAGAAGACGAGGTTCGAAAATAAAGATAGAAGGAGAAAAATAGAGACCAACTAGAAAACCAAGGACTTGGCCACCAGAAAAAGAAGAACCTGCATATAAATATATACGTGGACAATATAAGCATATGGGTTCAAAAAGAAGAGAATTTGAAAAGACAGTTCAATTCTAGAATTTTAGAAGTGATGGTGCTATATTAAATTTAACAGCACATGATCTTATAGATTGGTCAAATGTAATTAGCATATGGAAATGATTGATTGTCTAAAAGTATATACAAAATCAACATAATATTGGAAATAGAGTAGAAGATATGATTACATATTTAGAAACATTTTTAGGAGAATCGGTCAAAGTTTTATGGGAACAATGGGTAGAAGCTTTCCCTAATCATTATGCCCAATTAAAAATGGCTAGTAGTAACTCATATAATTTTGCAAATATTATATCAAGCATTGTAATAAGTGAAGATCCTTGAATTAGGATATACAATTTTACAGAATGAAAGATTAAAAGAAATAGAAAAATTGTCACTAACAAGCTGGAAAGGAACAAAAGAATTTTTTCAACACTATTTGTATAATGCTACGACTTCCAAGCAAGGCTATAACCAAGGTATAGTTGAAAGATATTTTAATAAATTACCAGATCCTTTAGGTTCTATGATATTCGAAGAATATAAAAAAGAAACTAATGGTAAAGAATATAATATCTCTCAGGCTATAACATTCGTTTTCAAACAGTTAAGAAAATTATGCACGAACATATAAGCCCAAAGATCAATGAAACAATCAGATTATAATTTTTTCAATAAAATAGTTCAAATACCATTGACATATGGAGAAGAGAGATCTAGAAACAAGAAATATCCTAGGAATTATAAGAAAGGAAATGTAAGAACAAAGAGACGTTATTTTCTAAGAAGATCAGACAATAGAGCTCCATTCCTCCATAAGAGAAATGTAAGAAGATATAATCCTAGAAAAAATTATGATAGTATATGTAGATGCTTTATTTGCAACTCGCCAGGTCACTTAAGCAAAACATGTCCTAATAAAGACAAGAAAAGGTATTCCAATAAGCAAGAACAAGAAAAAGTTCTAATAATAGATAGTGTGAATGAAAATATTTTAGTTTGTGATGATGATATAATGGACGATGAATCGATATACTCAATTATAGAGACAGATGAAATAGAATATGATGAAGAAAAAGAATCACGTGAAGAAGAGTTAGACTTAATTGATGAGTTAGCAGGAATAAAGATAGAAATGATGGATCAAATAAACTACGAACACAAGTGGGATCATAAAAAAGGTGATTCTAATATAAAATGTGTATTTTGCATATATTATCAAGATCCAGCAAAAAGAGCAACATGTAGGTTATGTTTAAGACAAGCATGTATGCCATGTCTAAAACAGCAGAATGATATGAAAAATGAGTCAGAAGCTAAAATAATATATGAGGAAAATAAAGTGCAATTAGAAGAAGAAATAATTCTAGAGGAAAAAGGGAACAAATATTTAAACAATACTCCACAAAAGTTCCTCATTCCTAGATTAAGTTTTAAGACTAAACAAATTTTATCATACTTTACTCGAGATATTATAGATCTAATTTAGAAGAAATATGTTGAAAGGCATTACAAAACCTTTCATGATATACAAAACTATTTTATGAAATTATACCAAGGAAAAGAAAGGCATCTAGGAATAATTGTGAATGCAAATATTTTTCCTTTACTTCATCCCGATGATAAATTAATTGTTAAGCCTCATCAAAGATTCTTAATACTTAGGGCTGACATAAATTTAAAATATTTTAGAAGCATACAAAGAAATATTAGAGATGATATCTCTCTACAAACTATTATTGATCATGGGTTAGTCCATGATATATATATGGTACACTTGAAGAAATTTTCCAATAAGACCTTGGAATAGCTATCAAAGAAGCTTGTTAGAAATTAGCATGTATTCAAGGGAGATACAAAATTAAGTTTTGTTCCAATCCACCAAAATTTAAACAACCAATAAGACCAGCATGCCATGAAATATATATCACAAAGGGATCATATAAATTTTCTACTATATGGACTTCAAATTCATGGCAAAATTATGAAGAGCTATTCGTAAAAGACACGAATCATGATAATTGGAGAATTTTCAGTGAAGCAAAAGAATTAGAAGGAAATACCAAATCTGCTCCTAAATATTATATGATGTACCAAAATAAAATAATAAAAGTATTCTTACGAGAATACTATGGAAGGTATACTATAATACAAAGAGAAGTTGAAAGACTAATAAAGCCTAGTTATGGCAAATAATGTCAATTACGAAAAGAATATCGTGAATTGTTGTCCTAGTATGAAATATGGCAACCTGAAGAAGTGGGCAATGAAGAAAATATTGAGGAGTAATAAGAAGAGTCAATACAAACTCAGTTCAATATCAATATATATGTTATATACAAGAAATATACTCCCTATGTTGATAAGGTGTTATCAACAATTCGGCCGGAGGAAGATAATACTACATGCTAGAATCCTTGGAGTGATGTTTGCAACATCAATCATTCGAGCGTGGAAGACCATACCAATGAATATCCAGAAGGATAAGACCGTGCGCGATGAAGGGCAGCGCAAAAGGAATATACAGTCACTCTACTGTAGCCAGGACAATTATTGAAGCACGCAGCTCCGTCCAGCTGTCCAGGCAACAGTAAAGGAGAATAATTGAAGACACTAGAAGATAAGCATTAAGGACAACCTAGAAGGCTCCCTTCATGCTATAAAGAGAGACGCCAGGCGCATTCATACGGCATCGGACCAAAGACCACCAACACCATCACCAAGAACTCCACCACTACACTTTCCCACATACACCATGAATAGCATGACCTCAGAAGAACTCTGAGAATCATCCACCATGAATAGTAATACTCCACTACCGTTGTATTACTCCACCACTATCTGTAAATTAGAGAATAAAGAAAGTCCCCATGATCTTCCTGTGCTTGTAAGATAATCCCTAAGGTTTGTGCTAAGTGCTTAGGGTTTCCCGAAAGGGAAAGCCATATGTAAGCTTGCTCTGTGGAAATCAACTAAGCTGTCCTGTTTTAATCTCTGCCTTCCTTTAATCTCGTTCATATGAGGCGATGTCTCTATGCTAGGGACCCTAGAGGAGAAACCTCTGCTCATGTTGTTCTCGTGTTAGCCCTGGTAGCGGCGTTTGTAGAGAACCCTGTGTGCGCAGAGAAGTGTTCCCTTCGGGTGGAACTGCCTAGGGAGACGATAGAGCTTGAGTCCTGTGTGTGCGTGGCTAGGGATAGCGAGGGAGAAGACCAGGTTAGCCTGGTTCTGAAGCGAGCTAGTGATGCATACGGTAAGTACCGAGTAGGAATAACACAAGCATAGTCGCAAAAGATCCTGAGAAGCATAATCCGCATACGCATATTCACTAATCACGCACATACTAATCACACACGCATACTGCATCCACTATCCACCCACTATAAATTCAAAAGCTAGTGCCTTAAATAGTGAAGAGTTTGGGTGCCTGAGCCACTCCCGGGTGAGTGCTCATGCACTGTTCATATTCCAAATTTGAATAGTAGCGAGTATTTTGAATAGCACCACGAATTTGAATAATGACCGCTGAATTTGAATAGTGATGTGAATAGTAACTCATGAATTTTAAGCTTGAATTCTGAATCCAAGTTAGTTTTCCAGTGTTTGCTGTAATATCTCCGACGTTGTAATAGTG